TCACAAGTTCAAGGCCAGTTTGGGCTACTTAATGAGTTCAAAGCCAGTCTGATAGGAGCTTCTACCTCAAAAAACCAAACCAAACAAAACAAAACAAGATTTCAGATGTAGCTCAATATAAAAGGCTGGGTTCACTGCAAGTGCCACAAAAAAAGAAAAGAAAATGTTAGCAAGTGTTGAAACTTGTTCTTTTGTTTGTTTGTTTGGTTTTGTTTATTTTTTGGTACGGGGCGGGGGATTGAAATCATGACCTCACACTTGCCAGGCAGGCGCTTGCCACTGAGCTATTTCTCTGAACCTTTATTTTCTTTTTGCCTTGTTCTTTTTTAGCATTAATTTTTGTAGCACTGAAGATAGAAACCAGGGCCTCATGCATACAAGACCTATACTCTACCACTGAGTCACGTCGCCAGTCCTTTTCCTTTTCAGTTTTCACTTTGAGACAGAGTCTCACTAAGTTGCCCAAGCAGAATTCACACTGAGGATGCTCCTACCTCCACCTCCCTCAGCACTGTGAGTAGGGCATGCACTACTATGCCCAGCTTCTTTCCTTTTCAAGAGATTCTTTTTCGTACAATTTTCTGTCTCTTTCTTAATGCTTGAGAAGTATCAAGGTCACTGTGGCAGAATGCTGTAGTTTGTAATTTGAAGGAAAGGGTTGGGGAATGTCTTCCATTATGTTCAAGATCTGACCAAGGAGCTTGCCGTGTATTACAGCTGTGTCTAGGTGTCTCCCCCAAAACCTCATGTGGTCATAGTGGGGCTTTTCAAAGGTGGCTAGACCTAAAGTGTATGATTCTGGGATCAAGGATGTGTGATTACTACATTAGTCCACAGATGGGTTTGGCACTGTTCTGGAACAATTAAGGGCACCCCAGCCTGAGTGTGAGTGCTACCCAGGTAGCCTGGATAAAATATAAAGGACAAAAAGCATTAGAGCCTTTGCTTGTCCCTTGTTGCTTCTTGTAGTTAATACATTGTATCAATTCTAGAAGTTTAAAATAGTTCTACAATTAACATTCAGACTGAGAAATCCCAGCTTAGATGGCTTAGCATTTTACCAACTGCCTATCTCAAAATTTAAAAAAAGCATGGGGGGCCCCTCCATGTAGGTGCAATCACTAGCACCACAATAAAGATTGTAAGAGATCTAAACTGGGTGTGGTGGCACATGACTATAATCCCAGAATCTGGGAGGCTAAGGCAGGAGGATTAGCATGAGTTCAAGGACAGCCTGAATTACGTAGTGAGACCCTGTTTCAAAAAGGAAAAAAACAGAGATTTAAGAGGTCAAATCAATAACTTCTTTGTCTCCTATTTACACATAACTGCTATACTGACACATATGATGTCTGGAATTTCTTCAAATAATTTAAGTTATAAAAATAGTGAACAAAAGTCAGTACAACCACACATAAAAAAAAAAATTTGTTAAATAGGGCCGAGGGTTTAGCTCAGCATTGTAAGTACCTACTTGACAAACGCGAGGTCCTGAGTTCCATTCTTGGCACAACAACAACAACAACAACAACAAGTCAGTACAAAACTAAAGACAGGCCATAAGTGGACTTTTGTTTTTTTTCACTACATAGGGTCTCACTACACGGGTCAGGCTGATCTAGAGCTCATGGCAACCCTCCTCTCTCAGCCTAAGTCTGCAATTATAAGCTTGTACCATTGTGCCCAGCTAAGTGGATAATTTCCGAAGTTGAGTGATGGTTTTGTTTTTTTGTTTTGTCTTTTTCATTTTTATTGGTACTAGGGATCGAACTCACGACCGCCTGCTTGCAAGGCAGGTGCTTATGCCACTGAGCTAAATGCCTATCCCCTAAGAGATGGGTTTTCAAGGCTACATTCTTTACACAGAACTGGATGGAGCAAATGGAAAAAGGTGCCAGACTAGTGGATGGGTGGGGCAATGCTAGGACAGGAGAAAAAAAGTTAAAATAATCTGTTTTAGGGTTTACATTCTAAGGACACAGACCAAATAAACCAAGGAAACAAATGAGTTTTAAGTCAACATGACAAAGAACAGGATTGTGATAGTATATGTGGAGGTGACCTGACACATATGACCTGTCCCCTCTAGGGACACATCTGAATAATGATCTATGAAAATGCTTTACATTCTGTTTTTCCTCTTCTACTTATAAACAGATCTAAATTAAAGGTCATTAGTATTTGTTCTAAGGAAAATATTTTAACCTGAAAGCTTTTGATTCCTTCCTCCTTCTTTAAAAACTCCAAATGTTGAGGCCATTATTCAAGACTTCTGGAAGTATAGTCAATCCAGGATTAACTCCTGGGGCCTTATAGGTCCCTTCTTAGCCAGCTATTGAGGCACAAGCCTGTTAATTCTAACATTTACAAGTTCAAGTCCAGTGTGGGAAATTTAGGGCTTTAGTGAGACCCTATCTCAAAGTAAGTATGAACTGAGGCTGCAGCTCCGTGGAAAGGTCCTTGCTCAATATTCACTCTGTGGTATGGCTTCTCACCTTGGCAGGTCTCCTCACCTACCACCTGGTCTGTTGTCCCCTTTGCCTCTGACTGCAGCTTTTCCACTTTTGGGGCTCTCAGCAACCCTGCTCCCTGGCCAAATACAAAGCAGTGCTTTGAGATAGTTTAAATCCTATGAGCATGTAAGTGTTGTTGGGCTATTTGCTGCTACATTCCCACACCCTCAAGTGTGTGGAACTGTTAATGTTCCGTAGTTGTCTGATGAGAAAAGTTCCTAAAGCCACTGAGCAGGTAAACCAGACACCTATCTAGGTGCTTAAGTACTTGATCTACAAGTAGTAAACTTGGGACTACAACAGCAGGCAGTAACACCAAAACAACACTCAGGTTTGGAAGCATATTTTACTTGACATGCACTGATCAAAATCATTCCCAGAGTATCAGGCCTCAATCTTTGGTGGTCTAGGGCTTATACTGGATAAGGAGCAGGAAATATGGAGAAAGAATGGCTTGTCAATTGGGAACTGGTTTATACAATGTGCATCACAGTGATCAGCTGTTTCTAAGAGACAGGAGCAACTGGAACAGGAACTATTATTTGGGCAACTAAGAAACTGAAGGCAACTCGGGTGCAGAGGCTGTGTGATTTTGTTATAGCATCTCCTTTCACACAAGTAAATATTACTACTTCCTGGTCTCGGACAGGCTAAGGGTGCACAGCTCAGTGCTAGGGCACTGCTTAGCATGCCCAAGACCCTAGGTTCAATCCCCAACCACACACACACACACACACACACACACACACACACACACTGCATGCCACATAGACAGCCAAGTTGTTCCACATCATCCAAGAGTAAAACTTTTTCACCTGAAGAGGGGGGTTGTTTTGTTATGGAACCGGGAATTGAATGTAGGACTTCCACAGTGAGCTATACCTATAGCTCCTTTTGAATATTATATTTTGACAACATCTCACTAAGTCACTGAATTGTTGGCTGGGCTCAAATGCCTCAGCCTCCAAAGTGGTGATTACAGATGCATGTCACCAGAAATAATTCAAATAGTCTTTCTAGCCCTTAGAAAGACGTGTTTAAAGCCAGGAAAAAATTGTAAGAAAACTTCTTAATATATAAGGAGAATGTTAGCCAGGTTGTTTGATACTTTTTTTGTCTTTTAGCCAGGGTTCTGCTGTGTAGCCCAGGCTGGCCTCAAACTCCTGACGATCTTTTTGCCCCTGCCTTCTGAGTGCCCGGATTACAGATGTGCACTACCACACCCAGTTTAACATTCCTTGGAGATATGATGAATTTAAGTACAACTGCCTGGATAAAGCCAACAATATTTTGGTTTCCTGAAGGAAAAAAAAAAAAGAAAGAAAACTCTTGGTTTGAATTATAGGAACTCTTTGCTGGCAGCTTGTCAGGGTTCTCTGCTTCTGTGCTTTTAGGATAGGATGGAAGAGTGCATATGTTCTGTACAGCAATCATGGAAACTTCACATTCATAACATAATAATGAAACAGGACCTAGACTTTTGGTTCCCCTGGGTCTGCTCCTCATTTAAATGACCTTGCCACAAATCCATTCCTCCCTTCATCTCTGACCTCCGTCTGTTTCAGGACAGTGCTCTGGTCTCAAATGGCTCACCCAAGGTCTTCAGATTACCAACAGCTGCCAGCGATGATCTAGGAAATTCATCTCCTGCATGTCGCTTCGGGATATCTTTGGGACACTCCCATAGAAACCCTGCAACCCCCAGTGAGCCTCTTCTGTCTTCCCAAAAGAGACGAGATGTCAGAAGGGCCCTCGAATGCCAGTGAATATGAAAACTAGGGCTAGGGAATCTGTTCTCCATTTGGCTCAGACCCAGAAAATCAATACTTGTGGCTCTTCCCGACCACCTTCCCCTCTGCCGTTCCAGCCCCCTGTAAGCCAATCAGACAACCCTGGCACACCCTACCAGCGTGGGCAACTCCTTTACTGAGAACCACCCAGCACAGCACTGGGCCGAGGCAGGAGGCGCTCCCAGGACGGGGGGCGGCCGGGGACACTGGTCGTGCTACCCGCTCCGCAGCAGAGCCCATGGAGTGCAGTCGTCGGCAGGCCCGAGCCGCGAGCCTTCCGGGAACGGACCCGCGCGGGCAGCTAGCAGCCGTCGTTGGCCCACAGGACCTCGCCGGGGAGCCAGCCGCCCCGCGGCGCCCGCCTCTGCTCGCGAACTTCCCGCCGGGGCGCCTACCACGCGGCGCCGCGGCGGCCCAACCCCCGCCGCGCCGGAACCACAAGGGGCCCACAGGAGTGCGGCGCACCACCGCCCGGCGGATGGAATGCGCCGGGCGCCCGCGCCCCTCCCCCGCCGCGTTCCCCGCGGCCGGGACCCGCACGGGGCTGAAGCGGCGCCCTCAGCATGTCTTTGTGTTTGTACACAAGGCGCGGGGCCGACAGGAGGAGGGCGCGGGCGGCACGCGGGGGAGGGGCGAGCGCGCGCCAGCGAACCGGCGCGGGGGGGAGGGACGGGGGCGGGGCGCGAGTGCGGGGTGGGGCGGGGCGGGGCCGATCCTTCCCTCCATTGTGTGTGATTGGCTGGCGTGCGGCGCGGGGGCGGAGCGCGTGTGTTGGGGGCTAGCCTCAGTGTCAGCCATCTTTCAATTGTGTTCGCAGCCGCTGCCGCGCCACTGTCGCTCTCTAACGCCAGCGCCGCCTCTCTCTCGCCGAGCTCCAGCCAAAGGAGAAGGGGGGTAAGTTTCCCCGTCTGCCTGCTTCCCACAACCTATTCCCGCTTGTCGCTGGCCCCGCGCTAGGCCAAGGCGGTGCGGAGACGGGTCCTACAGCCCCTCTGGCTTGGTCGACAAACTTTTTGGCCCAGAAATGGAGGTGAAGAGCGAGTTCTCCCCCGCGTTGGCGGCGGCTTCTCCCCGGCTCTGCGCCTCAGCCCGCCGCGACGCGGAGCCTGGGCTCCCTCCGCCTCCTCCCGCGTCAGGGCTGCTCTTTCTTTGACTAAAGCCCGCCCGCCATCCCCTTCTCAGACCTGGGACCCTCACCAGGACCCGCGGGCCGCCGTCCCCCGGCCCGGGCCGCAGTTTTCGGGCGGGAAAGGGGGTGGAAATCGCCGCCACTTCCCAGCCTGGGGTAACTTGCATTCTGCTGCCTCTCCACAGTTGTTGCTGAGCTTCACCATCTTGTCTCTCTTCTCTGGTCACCGACCATATTTTTCCCGTTTCTCTTCCCCATTTTAAAAAGGGAAGAAAAAATTTTTTTGAAAGAATGACATTTGCCTCCTTTTTCGGAGAAACAGAAACTTGATGCGTTGGAAATGCAAAAAAAAAAAAAAAAAACTTTTGCATTTGGGAAGAGGCACGTGGCAGGGGATCGGGTATTTTCAAACGATTTGGTGTTTTGTCTCTGGAAGGGAACCGGATCCGTTTCGCGATTGTTTCCATTTTGCTCGTGATGGGGCGGCGGTGGTGCCCGCGCGAGGCAGCGGGGAACCCAGGCCGGGACCGCGAACCAAAAGTTTACGCGGAGCTGGGGGTGAACCGGATGGCCGGTATCGCGTTAATTAAACCTGGGTGCGGGTTACTTTATTGCTTTGCTAGGCCTGTGAGGACTAGACGAGAACGGTGCTTTGTATATTGCTCATCGGGGTAGCTGTTCCTGTTTTTCGGGACTCTTTTTTTGTTGTTGTTGTTAGTTCTTGTTTTTTTTTTTTTTTTTTTTTTGGCAGTACAACTGAAAATGCAAAACCAAAAATGTTTTCTGATATTTACAGCAATCTATCAACTGCCAGGCGCTAGAGGGGCCACCAGTGGGGGAATCGGAAACCTTTTTTACTGTAATTTGACTTGACATTTCGATGGTGCTTCTTTTGAATTGTTTATGGCTCGAATGTTTACAGATATTTCTAATTTATGTTTTAATTAAGGCTAATCAGGCTCCCCGTTTGTGACTCAAAAATTGGCTTTTTTGAGAGACGTTTAATTAATGCTAACAATTTTCTAGTACTACAGTTTGTTTGAAAGTCATTTGGGTGGTAGACGCGATCTGCACTCTTTCGAATTATGTAACATTATGGACTTTATTTTTTTTCTATGCTGATCGTAGTTTCCAGGTTGGGGAGAGTGTTGGTGTCAGGAAGACTTACACGTTTAGTAGCTGCTTATGGTGATTTGTTTTTCTTTTTTAATGCTGGTATGTCAGTAAGGAGGACCTTGTACCATGGCTCGTACCAAGCAGACTGCCCGCAAATCCACCGGTGGTAAAGCGCCCAGGAAACAACTGGCTACAAAAGCCGCACGTAAGAGTGCGCCCTCTACTGGAGGGGTGAAGAAACCTCATCGTTACAGGTATTAAAAAGGAAAAAAATGGGATAGTCTCACAGGTGTTCGTGTATTCTGACAAAAGAATGAGCTAGCAGTCAAAGGCTTTGCTTTAGGGAAACTAATGTTTTCCCCTTAGACTATTTACTTCGGCTAGATATTTATAAGAATATAATTTAGTGTCAAGTCTTACTGGAAACGTTCAATTTTAAACCCATAGTCTGACCTAGAGTCCTGAAGAGATCTAATATTGTCACTGATAATGGTAATGGGATACGCTAGCTTTTTTAATTTGCTGTTAGTAATTTAAAGTCCCGTCCTTAATTTATTTTTCTCCTTTATTAGTGCATTTAGTTTTGACCTAAGCAGTGTTATTAAGGACATCTGCCATTAGAGGGCAGAAGTTGTCCACACTCAGGCAGACTACAGTTTACAGTTAGTTTAAAATAAAAGCTTATACAGTAAATCCAACTTAATGGTAAATCCTTTGTAGACAGTAAAAAATAATGGAGGGTTTTCAAATTCTGTTATTCACAAAAGATAAAAAGGTGATAGTTGCAGCTGGGCGTGGTGGCTCATGCCTGAAATCCCAGCACTCGGGAAGCTGAGGCAGGACCATCATTGTGAGTTCGAGACCACCCTGGGCTACAAAGTGAGCTCAAGGCCAGACTGAACTGCATGGCGAGACCTTGTCTCAAAAAGACAAAAAAAAAAGATAGTCAACAGTTCTGGGAAAACAAACTTAAATATGCTTAACTGTATTTTTAAGTGGAGCACATTGTGTTATTTTGGCAGGCCTAAGGGCAGACAGGGTTTTGATAAGCTCCCTGTCATTTCATGCTTTTTGTTTTCCATTATTGAATATTGAACCCAGGGCTTTCCCACCAAGCTGTATTTATTTTCATGACAGGGTTTCCGCTGTTAGCTCAGGTTGGACTTGAACTCGGTATGGAGCACAAGCTGGCCTTGAATTTGAAATGATCCTCTCGCCTCAGCCTCCCAATTGTTAAGATTATAGGTGTGTACCACCTTGCCCGGCTTATTTTTAATTTTGAGACAGTCTCACTAAGTTGCCTACGTTTGTATTCAAACTTGGAATCCTCCTGCCTCAGCTTCCCAATGCTAGGATTACAGAGGTATGTCACCACACCCAGTTTGGTATCATTTTTAATAGACTTGAGCTGCACATGGTGGCATATGCCCATAATCTGAGCAGGTGGTTGAGACTTGAGGATCACTGAGAGTTTGAGGCCAACCTGGGCTACATGATTTCAAGGCCTCTTTGAAAAAACAAAAAAATGGACTTGAAGGGCTAGGGATTTAACTCAGTGGCATAAGCACCTGCCTTGAGTTTGATCCCTGGTACCCAAAAAAGAATTTGAATGTTCAGGTAATAAATTTATCAGATTTGATATGGAAGCTGAAGAATAGTTGAATAGCTTAGTTTTTTAGGTATTAATGCATTTCTTTAAAACCAATTACCCTGTTAATGTGTACCTGGTAAGTGTCTTCAGTGCTGTTTTCTTGGTTGTTGTTTTTAAGGCCTGGGACTGTGGCACTTCGTGAAATTAGGCGTTATCAGAAGTCCACTGAACTTCTGATTCGCAAACTTCCTTTCCAGCGTCTGGTTCGTGAAATTGCTCAGGACTTCAAAACAGATCTGCGCTTCCAGAGCGCAGCTATTGGTGCTTTGCAGGTAAGATTGCCAACAGGGAATCTTTTTTTTTTTGGTACGACTGTGTGCCAAGAACGATCTGAAATCTCTGTATGTGCATCAGCAGTTAATCCTGAAAAATGGTTGAATCACTGGTGAAGAGTCTTCCAGAAGGTTAAGTTGTTTAGTACACATAGAAAATGGCAGTCAGGTCTGGGGATTTTTAGCTCAACAGTGTAAGTGCCTGCCTGGAAGCACAAGGTTGTGAGTTCAATCCCCAGTACCAAAAAAAAGGAAAGAAAGAAAGAAAATGGCACAGTCATAATATGAAGCCATTCTTTTAAAGTTTAAATATTGCATTATAAACAGTGTTCATAGAAAACTTCTAGACACTCTGGGGCATTAAAATACAGAACTAGAGGTCTGTACATTTTGATCATGGTTTCAAACTGTGACTAGCATAAAAGAGTTCCTGGAATGACCTGGAACTAAGGTGACAAATGCAAGTATAGAGAGCTTAGTATCTAGATGGGACAAGCAGCAGTAAAAAATTGTGCATCAGTAGCTGAGCATAGTAGCATGCATATGGGACTTCAGTGCTTGGGATGCTGATTGAGGCAGAGAGATCTAGTCAGTTACATAGCAGGACCTTGTGTCGCCCAAATACATGAAGAAAAAGCAGCAATTGGTGATTAGAGTTGATCGATAGGAATTAAAACAAGTAAAGTTTTACACAAGCCATATGTAAGATATAGTGGACATCAGTTATCTAAATAACCTGTTTTATATTATGTGGTTGGCATTGTTTAGATTTCTTATCTCATAATAAGACCAACTCTTATCAGAAATGTGAAGGTAATTTAAAATGCAGTCCAAAATGAACAGTGGTGGGCCTATAACACACATGTTACTTCAAGACAAAAAATGTTAGAATATAGTTTATTTTTTCTAGACTAAAATGAGTGTTCAGTTTAATTGCAGTGTTGGCAGTTTGCAATAACTAAGTGGGTTTGGGGTTGCAGTTTGGGCACTCATCTTCAAAAGCTTAGGTTAGGGTCACCATCACTGGTCTGGACTTGCATACATTCTATTGGAGGATTTTCAAGGCTGCTGTTGCTGTGCCTGGGTCTTTATATAAAAACAGATTTGATAGGTGGATTCTACCCTGAAGTGTCATTGGTTGAGCTGTTTCTATGGTTAGTCTAAACTTCATTTGATTGGTGAATTCCAGGAATTAGGCATCCATTAAATTGTGGGCTGAAATTTCAAGTACTAAAATCTTCCCATGGGTTACTTAGAACTTTTCTTGTTTTAATAGCTGGTAATCTTCATTTCTTATTTTATAACTAAATCAGAAACATTGCTAAGAGTCCCTAGATAAGTCTAAAACTGCCAATTTTGTTTGCTGATGATTAGCAGGACTGTGCTTAAAGAACACTGCACTGCATTTGGAAGTCCAGTATTTTTGAGTTTGGGTGTCAGTAACAGACATGTGAATGGAGGTTATTAAACATGCTGTAGGGGTTGGGGATTTAGCTCAGCGGCATAAGCGCCTGCCTTGCAAGCAGGCAGTTGTGAGTTTGATCCCTGGTACTGATAAAAAGGAAAAAGACCCCCCCCCCAAAATGCTGTATAAAAGACCCTTTTTTTCTTTTTCTTTTCTAAAAATCCAGCTTTATTTAGATTCACAACTTCACAGAAATATCCACCTTCTTAATTTTTTGTTTGTTTGTTTTGTTTTGTTTTTTTGTCTTTGAGGACAGGGTCTCGCTATGCAGTTCAGGCTGGCCTTGAGCTCACTTTGTAGCCCGAGTTGGTCTCGAACTTGCAACTCCTGTCTCAGCCTCCTGAGTGCTGGGACACCTTTTTAGAATGACTTGTGTTTAGACTTCGATTATTTGTCATAAAGTGTAAGCAAAATGTTCGCATCTGCCAATAGTTCTCTTACTTAGCATTAACTCTGATTTTTATTGGAATAAGTAATTGTTACAAGCCCTTTTTGTTTATTACTGCATTTTATTTTGTATTTAATTTTTCAAGCATACATTATCTCTTAAACATAATAGAAGGATAATTTGTTCTTGGAAGCAGGATAATAGAAAATAGCATTTGAAATAGAATTTCAAAGTCACTTTACTTCTGGCTTTAGAATTACACAATTCACAACTTTTTTTTTTGTCTTTTTTCGTTTTTGCCAGTACCAGGGATGGAACTCACGACTGCCTGCTTGCAAGGCAGGCACTTACACTGCTGAGCTAAATCCCCAGCCCCCACTTCACAACTTTTTAAATGTAGTACTATTGTCCACAGAGAATATACTGCAAGACACTTTATGGGTCCATGAAACCACAAGTAGAAGTAGAAAATCCTGTTTTTGCTATGCTTTTTCCTGTATGTACATAACTGTGGTAAGCTTAATGTTAGGTACAGTAGGAGTGTAATAACAGTAATCAATGATAAAATGAAACAATTATAACAATATACTATTAGAGAAAGTTGTTTAAAATTCACATTTGGGATTGAGGGACCCAGAATCTCATTATAGTCCAGGCTGGCCTTGAACTCAGGTTAATCCTCTTGCCTCACTCTTGAGTGCTGAAATTATAGAGATATACCTCCACATTTAGCCACATATTGTTTACTTCTGGAATTCTCTGGAATTTTCAAGACCGTAGTTGACTGGCAAGTAAAACCATGGGTCTACAATGCACTAAAAATGATAAATTTAGCCTTGGCCCTTAATGTCTGAGGATTTGAAGCTAAAGCACATTTATTTTGGTGGGGTACTAGGGATCGAACTTGGGACCTCAAGTTTGCCAGGTAGATGCTCATGCTGCTGAGCTAAATCCCCAGCCCCAGCACTTCTTTTTTTTTTAACCAGAGATCAAACTCAGGACCTTGTGCTTGCTATGCAGGCACTTACACCACTGAGCTGAAACCCAGCCCTCCAGCACATTTATATTTTTAAAAATAGGTACTGTTCTAGAAGACAGAAGAGCCAGCCATCCAATATATTCAAAACGTCATAAATTAACATTGTTATACAGTTGAGAGGTGTTTTTTTTTTCTTGTGCCATTACTTCAAAATTACATTGAAATCAGAATAATGTTTAAGTCTGTTACCCCAGCTATGGGAAAGACTGAGGTAGAGTCCCAAATTTTTTTTTATTTTTTAATTTTTTTATTTTTTTTGTCTTTTTCCTTTTTATCAGTACCAGGGACTGAACTCACCACTGCCTGCTTGCAAGGCAGGCGCTTAATGCCACTGAGCTAAATCCCCAGCCCTGAAACCCCAAATTTGAGGCCAGCCTGGGAAAGTCTATGAAAGCCTAGGGTCAGTAATCTTGCAGAACTGAGCATGCACAACCCATGCAAACAAGCAGCCAGATTCTAAGATGGCAGTTGAGAGCCCTGCATAAGAGTAGTCCATAGATCATGGTACCACTCTACGTGGCTCAGAACTGTGGCACATGTTGGGTTTTTGTTTTTGTGTTTTGAGGTAGGAGGGCTCCCTACATATCCCATGCTGGCTTCAAACTCACAGCAATCCTTCGGCTGTAGCCTCCCAAATGGTAGGATTACAGGTGTGTGTCACCATTTCTGGCTTAGCACCTGTTGACTTGTCCACATAGCTTTCTACGGACATGTTTTAGATGTGCATAATCCTAAAATACTGGGTTAACATGTGGCTGGTTTGTGCCACTATTGGTTCAGAACCCCCATCACCAATGGATTAAACACAACTAAACTGGTTTCTACCTGGGCAGCTTAAGTTAAGTATCTGTGCATTGTGAATCCTTCAGAGGAAGCTGCACTGTACCATGTTCTTCAGACTTTTTAATCTGTTTGTAGAGTATCCCAAGAGTAATTCCCTGAGTATTAGAGTTGTTGAAAACCTTTGTGATGAGTGAGACATGAGGGATGAATAGTACATTTTTTAAATCAAGGTGTTAGATACAAAAATACAATAGCAACTATTAAGGGCCTGTGTGAGGACAATGCATTGGGAGTATACAGTGAGTTTTCTGTTAGTAACTTAAGAGCATTGTATTCACTTGAATGTTGAAAAGTTAATCATATTGAGGACATTGGTAAGAGGAGCGCTTACTTTTCAAATATGTCTTGAAAAGAGAAAATTTTCCTCATAGAGGAGAGAAAACCAAATAACATGTAATGCTTCAAATCCAAAACAGTTGGGTTGGTGACTATTACACGGATAATTTTATTTCAGAGTGAGTAATCAGCCAGGCTTGGTGCTCCTTGCCTATGATCTCAGCACTTGGGAGACTGGGGCAGGAGGATCATTGTTGAGTGTGAGGCCAGCCTGAATTATATAGCAAGAAAGACCCTGTCAAAAAAATAAAAGAGGAAGTAGATGAAACTTTCAAAAGATTTTTAAACTTTTCACACAACTGAGATTTACTAATACCTTGAGTTTTCTTTTTCTTTTTTGTTTGTTTTGTTTTTGTCTTTTTCCTTTTTATTGGTACCAGGGATCGAACTCACGACTGCCTGCTTGCAAGGCAGGTGCTTATGTCGCTGAGCTAAATCCCCAGCAACCCCCCCCCCTTTTTTTGAATAATTTTCACACCCTAAGCATGAGTGGCTGATTCCTCCAACAAACAGTTTTGAGTAGTATTATAGATAGGAGTATACCTTGAAAGAATCTTAGCATCAAATGGGGAAAAGTAGGGATCTGTTTATGAGGGGGCAAGAAATGAGCAGGAAGCAAATACTTTATAGGAGATGGCACATCTCCTTAGCATAATACATTGAAGTATACAGTGCCCAGTTTCTTTCTTTTATTTTTTGTCTGTACCAGGGATCGACCTCACAACTGCCTGCTTGCAAGGCAGGCCCTTATGCCGCCTTCTTTCTTTCTTTTCTTTTTCTTTTCTTTCTTTCTTTTCTTCCTTCCTTCCTCCTTTCTTTCTTTCTTTCTTTCTTTCTTTCTTTCTTTCTTTCATCTTTTTGAGACAGGGTCTCTCTACGTAGTTCAGGCTGGCCTTGAGCTCACTTTGTAGCCTAGGCTAGTCTCGAACTGGCAATGATCCTCCTGCTTCAGCCTCCCGAGTGCTGGGATTACAGGCATGAGCCATCATGCCCGGCTTGAGGCCCCGTTTCTGATGTATACTGGGACCTGCAAGTTTTATACTTTATGCTTTTATATTGGTAAAATAATAAATAAGCATCTTGTGAAGTACATTTTAAGTGTTTAGAAACCTTGTTTGAATTCGTTTGTGTCTTTATCTGTTAGAAAATAACACCACTGAAAAGTTTTCTTGTTGCAGGAGGCAAGTGAGGCCTATCTGGTTGGCCTGTTTGAAGACACCAACCTGTGTGCCATCCATGCCAAACGTGTCACAATTATGCCAAAAGACATCCAGCTAGCACGCCGCATTCGTGGAGAACGTGCTTAAGAGTCCACTATGGTGGGAGACATTTCATGCTCAAAAAATTTTTTTCTCTTCTTCCTGTTATTGGTAGTTCTGAATGTTAGATATTTTTTTTCTCATGGGGTCAAAAGGTACCTAAGTACACGATTGTGAGTGGAAAATAGGGGACAGAAATCAGGTATTGGCAGTTTTTCCATTTTCATTTGTGTGTGAATTTTTAATATTCATGCGGGGATGTAAAGCATTAATGCAAGTTGAAATGTTTCAGTGAACAAGTTTCAGCACTTCAATTTTATAACAATTATAAATGAAAATCTTAAATTTTTCTGGACAATGCCAGCATTTGGGTTTTTTTTAAAAAACAAGTAAATTTCTTATTGACAGCAACTAAATGGTGTTTGTAGCATTTTTATCATACAGTGGATTCCATTCAGTCATTATACTTTTCTAACTGAGTTGTCTTACATGCTAGTACATGTTTTTAATGTTGTCTGTCTTTCTGTGCTGTTCCTGTAAGTTTGCTATTAAAATACATTAAACTGTATCTGCTTTTGGTCTTTATTAATCAGCCTTCCTTATGAAAATAATTCACTGTTAAGTTTCCATATTTGAAATCTTTGTAGCATCAGTTGCTTTGGACATACCACTGTGTCACACAGACTATTGAGGGATGTGGAAAGAAAACAAGCTATTGGCTATAGTTTTTATTTTTTTTTTTTTTAATTGGTACCGGAGATGGAACTCACGACTGCCTGCTTGCAAGGCAGGTGCTTATGCCGCTGAGCTAAATCCAAGCCCTATAGTTTTGATATTTTTAAGCCTTGTAAATAGTGTTCCCTGAAACCAGATCTTAACTGGTTAAGTGCTACCTCTGAATCATTCTCAAACCTAGCAAGTTAACGTCATTACTTGTAGATACTTAAAAGTGCTGAAAGCATGTTCATGAACATGCACTGCCTTGTTAGACTGTTTTAACTGTCTTCAGATCAAAAGTCCATTGGAGCTGGGTGTTGGTGGTGTACGCCACACACAGCACTTGGGAGGCTGAGGCAGGAGAGTTGCCATTAACTTAAGCCTGAGCTACATAGACCCTAAGCCAAAAAAACCACGGTGCATTGCTGATCTATTGTAAGATGTTCGACCCAGGAGTTACTCCACTATTCATTAGCCCTGTTGTATTTAGCATTGTAGTGACGAGTGTTAAATGAAGATGATGGCCCTTTTAAGATCTGTAAAGTTCCTAATACAGTGACATTAGTTGTAACATTTGTGTGTTGAAACTGCCCTGGGTTGGACATGTAATGACTGCAGAGAAACAGGTTCATGTTAGTGATGTCCAGCATTTGGCTTGTGTCTCACCGACTTCAGCAGTAATTTTATAGGTGAAATTTCTTTAATGGGGAAATTAATGAAACTTTTTTATCATACAGTAGATAATACATGGCATCCTAGTTTTTAGTGTGGTCCTTGAATAGTTTCTCTGGACAAGGTCTGGTTACTGCTCAGATTTCAAAGTAAGCACATCTCATGCTCTTTGCTTGGTGTTTTCCCAATGCACTCTGAGAGCAGGTAGTAACTGGAAAACAGAAATGTGAGTCTCCAGTGGGGAGGAAGTGTTACTACCTGGTGGAGTGATGGGTACCAGTGGAATATAGCTGTGCTTTGGAGTCGTTGGAGCCAGTTGTAAGTTTTTTGGGTTGGTTTGTTTGTTTTTTTGTACCGGGAATGAACTCAATCTCGTGCTTACTAGGCAAGCACAAATGTTCTGCTTGTGTAGGCAAATGCTAGACTGTGCATGTTTCCAGAAATGCGAATTGCGTAGATGAATCTGCCACTCAGTGAATGTAGGCAAGTGTCTGGTTAGTGTGTTGAGCTTTGTTGGTATACTGTGTATGTTCATATTTAACTGGTACCCTTAAGATTTCCTGTGAAATTCACAAAATGAGGCAGTGGAATTTAGAAGTATATATTCTTCAGAATTGACCAGTACACATAGTTTCAAAACTTGTTTTATCTTTTGACAGGTGTGAGTGCAACCTGCCTGCCCTTGGAACTCTACCTGGGTTAATACTTTTGAATGGCACCTCTCTTCCCGACTGTACAATAGGGCTGATCAAAAACTTGCTGTACTGAATTGGAGTTGGGTGCAAATACTGTATGGGGATTATGCCTGAAATACTCAAAGAACTGGTCATTTAACACCTTGGAAAATTAAGTTGTGAGAGGATTTTTTTTAATGTAAATTGTGTTTTGGAGCCAGAGGTGGTAGGGGTGTAATACCACCCCTTTAAAGGATGAAAAAGAATTGCTAGGAGCTCAAGGCCAGCCTGAACTACGGAGCAAGACTGTCTATAAATAATGAAAATAAATACGTTATGAAAAATTAGACGACTAGTATAAGTAGGAGAACTTCTAGGAAAGAATTTGGAAACCATTTCCTTAAATAAATGGGAGCTCTCATTGTGCTGCTTCAGATAAGTGAGAGTGCTTACTGTCTGGTGTTTTTTGTTTTGTTTTGTTTTGTTCCTAGGGTTCTTTAACAGTGGAATCTGGCAGGAAATAAATTCAAATTGGAAAATGTATCTGACCTTAGGAAGTGATGAAAATGCCCCAACTTGAATTCACACATTTCACTACATGGGTGAAGATGTTTGTACAGGGTCACGCAGCAGGTGGAGACTGGATATAAGACTATACCCTATATGTGCTAGTCAAGAGCTGTCAACCTCACCTGTAGTGCTGGTTGTGGTACACACCTGTAATCCCAGCACTTGAGGGGAGGCAGGAGGATCACTGCAAGTTTGAGGTCAGCCTGAAGTGCATTGCAAAATCCTATCTCAAAAAGAACTGGGAATTTAGCTCAGTGGCATAACCATCTACTTTGCAAGTGTGAGGTCATGAGTTCAATCCCCAGGACCAAAAAAAAAGACCAGAAAGAAATAGCCCGTGATAAGTTTTAGCATTCATCAAAATAAATGAAGATAGGGGGGAAAAAATTAGGATTGAGGAGGGGGGTGGTTTAGAAAAGCCAGAAAGGGTTGCTTCACACCAACTTTGGAACAAGGCAAGAACCACAGAATAGAAGAGATTCCCTGTCACCACAAAGCTGTGTTCCAGAGATCAAACAAGAAAGTAAAATATTTAAGTGCTAAAATGGATAAGTGTTGGGAGGGCATCAGAGGCATCTTCTAGATAGCTGTAGCTCAGTACTTGTCACTTAACTAGTTCCGGGATGCAGCAAGTACTAGGGCCAACAAGCCACAGGCGACTCTTCAGTGGTCAGGCAGTTGATACCAGCAAGTTCTGGGATGTGGAGGACCAAGTGATGAGTCCTGGGCATAATTTTCACACACGTGTTGAGCACTAAATTCAAAAGCAGTCAAGTACCATGATTTCCCCCAAGCCTACTGAGACACGCTTGGGCGTGTTTATGGGACAATAGGGACACAGCAGTGGAACTAAGGAAGGGAGTCAGGTGTGGGGACCAGAGCTTGTAGCCTGGGTTTTGCAAGGACAGTAGGCATGGCCTGCTGTGGGCATTAGCAGGAAGGCAAAGTGAGCAGAAAAGCTAAACAAGTAACAGTTGTCAAAATGTGAGCTGGTACAATGCATGGAAATCAGTAGCCAGGTGTTAAAGGAGTTCAGCCAGGACATGTTCAAATAGAGACACTGAATTAGACTTTGTAGTGGAAACTTAGGGCAGAGTGTTAGTAACCTACAGTTCTGAAAGAAATTTGGGCCTGAAATACAAATGTGGGATGTCATCAGGAGTAATCATAGCCTGGTTTTCTTGTTCGTTTGTTTTTGGTACTGGGGATTGAACTCACAATCTCACAACTTCGCACTTGCCAGGCAGACTCTTAGGCCACTGAGCCAAATCCCCATCTCAACCTGTTTGAGACGGGTTATCACTATGTGGTCCAGGCTGGCCTCGAACTTGTGATCCTCTTGCTTCGGTCTCAGGAATTACAGGCATGTGCTACTGTGCCAACTCAAACATAACCTTAAAGCTAAGAAGCTAGAGATCACCAAGGGACAAGGTCCAGATAGAAATCAGGAGGGTCCGGGGCAGCCACTCAGCAGGGGTGGGATGAGGCCCAGCATACGCTGTGGTGTGGCCAGTGAGAATGTAGATGTGGGTGAGAGAGCACTGCTCCAGAATGGGGAGGTACTGTGTGCAGTAATGCTGCTCCTGGGGTGAGGTGGTAGAGTCTCCTAGAGCAGGTTTCTAACAGCTTGCTCTCCTGAGCAAAGAACTGGTCAAGACAAGTGCAAATGATATAAATGGTTGAACACTTATTAAAGACAGGGACAGAAGCAGGCTCTGCAGAGCAAAGTTTGGGTCAATTAAAAGTGGAAAGCATGCTGATTTTCTTTTCTTCTTTTTCTTTTCTTTCTTTTGAGACAGGGTCTCTGCAGTTCAGGCTGGCCTTGAGCTCACTTAGTAATGTAGCCCAGGCTGGTCTCAAACTCGCAATGATCCTCCTGCCTTAGCCTCCTAAGTGCAAGAATGCTTTTTTCACTGCAAGCACACAGTAGCAAAACTCTACCTCCACTGTGCTTTTTGTATCTTGCAGTCTTCAGGCAGAGGGCTGATCTAGGCCATCCTAGCAAAACCTGCTGAAGTTCTCGTGAGAAGTCCAGGGCACAGAATTTTGAAAACTGCTATGCACAGCATCTCACTGCCTCACTAACGATGAGTGAAGTCTGAGAATCAATTACTAGATTTTACAACATAGAGGTAACTGGTGATCCTAATTACAGTTTTGGTGAAATGCTCATTGAGGTTTTGATCAATTATTCAAATTTATGGGACAGCGATTTAGCTCAGCCATTCAAGTGCTTGCTTGGTAAGCGCAAAGTAATGAGTTTGATCCCCAGTACCAAAAAAAGTTCAAATTTAACATCAATCATGAGACTGATATATCAGGGACACAACATCACCCAAAGGTTTAACCTGAAACTGGCAGAGAAACTAAGCAAAAGACAATCTACAAAACAATTGGTCAGTTCTCCATAGAAGCAAATCAAAGCAGAGACCAGCAATAGATGCTTTTTGTTTTTGTTTTTGGTGGTGCCAGGAATTAGATCTAGGACCTTCACATTGAGTTATATTCCCAGACCCTCTTTTCTTTCTTTCCTTTTTTTTAATTCAAGTTGTCCAAGCAGGACTGAAACTTGTGATCCTGCCAGGTTGTGGTAGTGCACTCCTATAAAATCCTAGCACCCCAGTCTGAGGCAGGGGAATTGTTACATGCTCAAGGTCAGCCTGGGTGACACAGTGAGTTCCAGCCTGAACTACATAGTGAGACCCTGTCTCAAAACAAATGAACAAAAATTTGCAGTCCTCCTTCCCCAGCCTCCCTGAACACTAGAATTACATGAGTGCCCCACACCTCCCAGCAAGAGCAGTTCTAGAGTAAAGGTAACATAAGAAACATGACAACCACACACTTTCAAGGCAGGCACTTATGCTGCTGAGCTAAATCCCCGGTCCCTTGTATGTTAGTATTGTTGGACACTGGATTAGCGTGTGGGTAGTAC